ACAGACACACATTTTTGTCATCAATTTATAGCTTCGTCCTCAGCCGTTGCAACATATTTGCTTCCTGAGATTATTCACACTAAACAAATCCTGTCAGTTTGCATAAATGCTAACAATCTCACACGCAAACACCTGCACAATGCACACACACACCTATACAGACTCAGATATGGACACTTTTTTACTCAGTGACTAATTAGAAGGAATCGGGAGCTTTGTGGCAACACGTGTGCAAGGCAGGGATACTTTTTCAGCATGGGAGAAAACTTACCACTGTTGGTGTATGAGAGAAGCACTTTTCCCTATAGATGCTCTTTGCTGCAGCTTGTGGAAGCAGAGCAGGAATATGTTTAATTTATGTCAAGAACAGCTTCTGTGGACATGGAAGACAGTGGGAGAAGACAGTGAATGTGTCTCAGAAATATAGAGATGCCTGAAGTCAAGTACACATGGTGGAAGAAATTCCTAGTGATGAGGTCACCTCTGGGTGACAGGGGCTAGTCTGTCCCTGTTCCCTGAAAAACCCTTGGCGAGACGACCACCCATGACCCTGCCTTTCTGAGCTGACAAGGAAAGCTGAGAAGGACAGCAGCAATCAATTGTGTTTGATACAGTGGAGACAGGTCAGAGGGCAAAGACAAAAAGAGTGAGAGAGTAAGGGGAAGATAGGCTGGCAAAGACCCATCTTTTCATCATCTTCTCATCTGCAAAGTTGATTTGCGCTCGTCTTGCAAATGAAAGGAAGGATTAGCAATTTGTTGTAAATGTGAATGCTGCACTGTGTATGGCCTGTAGAGCAAGGATCAACAGAAGCATGATGATCATATTTAGCTGCTCTTTACACTATGATTCATCTTTTGGCTGCATAGAAAAATCTACATTTTTATATTGCAGTGGGTTTTTTTTTAGGAGTTTTAAAGGTTTAAAAAGACCAAATAATGTCATAGAAAAATATCTTCTCACTGCATTTATTTAGTTTTCTTTGCTATATCTCAGTGCACTGGTATCATCAGAGAGTCAAGTACATTCAGGTTGTTATTTTTTCTTTCTAAAAGGGCTGAAAAGGATTAGCATTAGGATTTTTTTCTTTTTTTTTCTTGTTCGGTATACGATCAAAACATGCCCAGTGGACCTCATTAGCAGTCTGAGATATAATACCTCTGACCATCACATGGGCTTAAAACAGCCTCACTTGGCTTTCTATTAGAAGTTCCCGGTCTGAAATGTACTGTCTGATTATTCTGGATAAATAATAAGCACAGAAATACATATAAACACCAACCCCCATGTGGTTGTTACAGGCTTTTTAAAAAAAGAGGGGTAGTTATATATGATACTTTACTGCATGTAGCCCACTTTGAGGAAAATCCATAATTTATTGACTTTGCGATCATTTTGGCAATTCTCTGAACCATTTAAAAAACCTTGTTATTAAATATTTATTGGCTGCATTTGAATCCACAAGAGCAGCGGAGAGAGATCTTTTGGGAGATCACAGAATAATTTATGTGCCATAGAGCTATATATTTGAGTGAGAAATTGTTGCAGTTATGTAAGGGTGTTGCTGCTGTCAGACTATATAATAGCACCCTGGAGCCCATGCAGCTCTATGAGGAGATATTTTGCCAAACTAGGTTTTTGTCTTCTTTTAGTCGTATGACTGAATTCAACAATGCAAACCACTAGTGCTTAAAAGCCAAAATAAGCTCTTCTTTCTTTCTATTCTACTGCCCAGATGCAGTGAGGCAAGCATTAAAAATCAACTTAATAGCTCAAACAATCTTTTATATATTTTGCGCTATTTATGTATAGCCCACGAAATTAAGGCCACTGGAGCGCTGAAGTTAAAAACAACTCTAAGGATTAAGGATGTTGTCTTGGTCAACAGTAAAAAAGTTTGAAATAATATTTTATAGGCAAATTAAACTTTAAGAGATGCTGGTAAAACCAAATAACAAAGAGAGCTTCTGTGGGTTAAGTGCAGGCCGCCCTCAGTTTTCATGCAGCTGGATGCAAAGCTGATTTCACCAATCATTGTTCCGTGTCACTACCGCTGAGTCACTGTTGATTGGGCCTCTGACTGATCTTGATTACAGTGAATACTGCACAGTCATTGTTTCCCTTTCAAGGAGAACTACATCTTTCTCAATATGGAGCTGAGGCAAACCTACTTGCTAACTGTGTAATATGAGTAATTTCTGAATGCTTACCACATATGCCGTGGAGTGTTATCAAGAAATACCTTTTAATTTACACAGCGAGTGGAGGTGGTGTCTGTTCCCATTGAATTATGAGGTTCTTAACCTTTCCTTTAATTGGTTCTATCTTGATCAATAGGCTACCATAGCTCCAAATGTAATTGCATTGTACTAAATAAAACACTCCAGCAAACTAATTTATTTCAATAGGCTATCTTTAATTTCATTGCATTTCAAACAAATTGTGGATTTTCTGTTGTACTTCAGTAAGTTAACTGACACTGGAGCACATCTTTTCACTGAACTATTCCATACGGATCAAGTAGCCTTGGTACATGGGGGCATCAGCTCAACCAGGTGAGCTATCCTGGCGCCTAGATGAGAGATAGTTGATCTGGTAGCAGGCAGCTAGAAAGTTACTACACCCTTGTAGTTCTCACCTTAAAACCACAACTTGTTGTTTTTACACTTTGCTTTTTTTAGAACGAGAATATGAAACTTAGATTCCACTGAACTAATGCTGAACTCAACTCAACTTTTTTAGCATTTATCTAAAATGAGATTGCGATAATAGTACAAGCATGGATGTATAAAGAGAACTGGAAACAGCGTTGGAATGAAAGTTGCTCAGTTTCACATGAAGTCAAAAAAGCCACCTCTTCCACATGAATGCATATAGTGCATGCTCTATGGGCCACTGATGGAAACCATTGCTGTAATTATATGGTTCGGCCACTATGTCAAATTGGCTTGAAAACCCGGCACTCTTTATGGGCACTTACAAGTACAAGCGGAGAAAAGTTGGTGTTGTCCATATTACAGCAATATTTACTTAAAGCTTGCTTACATTAGCTAACATTAGCCTACATAAGCTACTAGTCATACTCTGATACAGAATATATTGAGACCTGCTTTAAATAAACAAAATATTAAGGCTGTCCCTGACTAAAGATTTTTGTAGTCGACTAGTAGTCATTAAAGTCAACAGCGGACATTCATTGATTTAATGACTTAGATATATATATATTTTAACAGCCGCTTGTTAAACGATAACGTAACGGTTATAATTTTGAATGTGTCAGAACGACCAACAAGGAGACTGAACATTTAGTTAATTTATTTAAGTATAACATCACACAAGTAAACGTGTAAATGACAAGTAAATCATCACACAAGAGTCGTTCAAAACACGGAATAAATAACTTCCAACTTCACTAAAAGAAATACTTGCAGACTTATTGATATGATGGATGATATTTAATGTTAACACTAACTTACACATGAACTGGCTACAAATTCACCCCTTCTCCCCTCACACCTTTCCTCCCCTGGCTGTCTTCTGTCCCAGTGTGAGCCTGGCTCCATTGTCCCACTCAGGCTAAGCTTCCGGCCCCACACCCCAGCAGTCCAAAACTCGTGGTGTAAACGAATGTCCTCCGGTACTTCGAGCTCGCAGTCCCGGTACAGTCAGCTGATAGGACCCATACACTAGTGGCAGAAGCTCATTCGCAGTTAGCACATGCAGCAGCACAACATAACACAGTTACAAGAGAAAAGGTCTGTTTGATTCAGTTTTTTTTTACTGTGAATGTCAGGGCTAATGAAAAGTGCGTTGATTAAGACTCTTCTCGCTGACTAACAGTTTACTCGATTATTCGGGGGCAGCCCTCCAAAATATAATGTCAAGAAAGCGTTAATATTTCCCTAAATGTCAAACAATTCCATTAAAAATTCTGACATTTTTGGGCTAACTCTTAGTTTAAGCCATAGCAAGTCTACAGGTTTTCACTCCAACCAGTTATGATTAAAACTGATCTCAGTGACTCATACCAAACAAGAAGAAACTAGAAGTTTGTTATATAAACAATGCCTTGGATCTAGCTCCAATTATAATTCAAGTCACACTTTGACATTAGCTGCTAGAGATGCCTCAGGCCATTTGAGTTTGTTAGCTACAGCAGGCAAAGGTCAAGTTCAAACTAATTTCCTCATCATGGGTGAAATCACGTCAGTAAACATCCGCATTTAATTGATTTGTGAAGAAGACAGACATAATACAAGAAAAACATTCCAAACTTGCAGAATTTCCTTCAGTAATATAAATAAGTGAATATGAAGACTAAAGGGTTGTAAAAGAATGAAGCTGTTATTTCTTTTGGCTTAATATTTCATGTGTTACTATTGATTTTAAGGCAATAAAGCCAGCTCACAACTAGGAAGATTATTTTATTTTTGTTGCCACACTCACTGCACACGTGTGGTGCATGGATTCATAAAAGGAACGTGATTCAGCTTTATAGTTCATGGATGTCACATCAGGAAATTAAACTAACCCTGTGTTATAGGTACAGAGGCAAGGGCATACACACAAATATGATGAGATGTGTGTGTGTGTTTGCTTGTGTGTATCAAATCCAGCTGGACCAAAGCTGTCAGGAAAGATTGTACACTACATTAAACCCTCACACGCTTACTGTGGTGGAGACACATATTTTAGGTGTCCTCTTCAGTCCTCACTGGGACAATTTCAGAGGGATGAACTGTGAGGTGAGGTAGATTGAAGGAGGGATACAGAGAGAGGGAGAGAGAGAGAGAGAGAGAGAGAGAGAGAGAGAGAGAGAGGAGGTGCAGCCGTCAACTGCAGCAGAAGAATGAGCGAGCAGAGGAAAAGGGGGAGGGCAGAGTAGTGATGAGGGACAGAGAGGGAGCTGGAGAGAGAGAGAAGGGAGAAGAGAGAAGGGGAGGGGAGGTAGCATCTGCTCACTGCAGAGCCTTTCATTGATAAAGTAGCGCTGGTGTGAGCCAGAGGACTGCAGCTGGACACATCACACACACCTCATCATGCTCTCACGCACACTTCCCGGGTGTTTGTTTACAGACTGACAGCGAGGCGGCATCAACGCTTTCACTCGCAGTGCACTCCACACAACTGCACCACTGAGGACACACACACACACACACACACACACACACACACACACACACACACACACACACACACACAGAGACACTAATCATACAGTGACATGCTCTTATTGAAACGGACAGCAACATCATCGCAGACTCCCCTCTTTTTTTCTCCTCCCTCTTTTGTGGGCTTAGTTCAGTGACAACAGGGGAGGGACACCTGTAACTGAGGAGCAGGAGTGGGTGCATCTCATCTGGGACCAGTTTTTCTGAGGAGTCCTCGGGTGGAAACAGGCTGTTAAAGCTGCAGCGGAAGCAGGCAACGCACTGGCATAAAGGTAGGGAAGGATGCATTTATATACACACACACACACTTTGGAGGGATATGTAAACATACACAGCATGCAAATGCACATACACATGCGTGGATAAACTTCACACACACACACACACACACACACACACACACACACACACACACACACACACACACACACACACACACACCAGGCAGTTCAGTGAGATGCTTTCTGTGAGACTGTAAACAGTTTCCTCCTCACAGCAACAGGAGCTGGTACCTTCCTCCTCCTCTTCCTCCTCTCTCCATCTGTTTTTGTGCATCGCTCTCGCCCACTTTCTCTCTTATTTCCACCCTATTGTATCTTCATCTCCATCCTGACACCTAGTTGTTCCAGTAATCTCGTTCCCATTGCAGCGTCCTGCCTCTCTCCCTCACATTTTGGTCCATCTGCCTCCTCCACCTCCACCTCCTCTCTCACCCGCTCTCACTCGCCTCCTCGCATCCTCTTTTTGCCACCTCTCTCCCTCAACACAAAGGCATCTCTCACATTTGCTGTCCTGCACTTGTCTCGGCAAAAGCTACAGCTCTCTCCTCATGCCATAGACAACTCTGTCTCTCTCTCTTTTACTCCCTATCAGTCTGGCCGTCATCCTGGGATCTACAGAAGCAAGCGGAGTGCCGGTGTCGGCCATGAAGCTGGTGAACGGGGGAGGAGGAGGAGGAGGTGGCGGGGGAGGAGGTGCAGGAGTGGGAGGAGGAGGAGGAGGAGAGAAGACTGCCTTTTCCTTTAAGAAGTGCTCTGCTTTCCAGTTTGTCAAGAGGAAGGTGAGTTTGGATGAGACACACACACACACACACACACACACATTTTGGGATGGATTCACATGCACCTACACAACCACAGAGGTATATTGGCTGAGAGAGGAGGTGTCACAGCCGGAGTGTTCCCTCTTCTCTTTGTATGTGTGTGTGTGTGTGTGTGTGTGTGTGTGTGTGCCAGAGATGATGTCATTGTGAAAGCTAAGCCGTGCTAATCAGGCCCAAGATTCAGCTCCCTGCGTATCTGTGTTTACTGTGTGTGTGTGTGTCTTTCTCTGTGTATGTGTGTATGCTCCAAAACACTGTTGCATTACAGAACCTACAAGTGTCTGCTGTGTAGAAAACATGACATCATTGAGCTGGCAAGGTCCTATAGTTTAGGATCTACTCAGCATATCCTGCATTTTGCTGCAGTGCTGTCACAAGGCTCATTCCCTGTATAATGTTAATGGTTTGCATTAAATGCCTTGGTTGGTGTGTTTGTGTAATGAGTGTGTGTGTGTGTGTGCTGACTTTTCCAAAAACAAAAGTACAATCCTGTGATTTAATGGACTACAAAACTGCACTTTGGAGGACATTTGGTGCAGCCCATTGTCTTAACTAAGACTTGTTTGCCCCCCCAATCCCAGCCAAATAATAATAATAATAATTTATTCTAATAACAGTAACATAATCCCCCAAAAAAATCCATTATAATGTTCATCTTGGTGACACACTGGGAATCATTGTGCTCAATGCTTATATAAGCAAATTAAAAACATTAAATCTATAAATTAGAGAAAAAGAAAAGAAGAAAAGCAACAACAAATTGCTGCAAAATTGGCTGACACAATTGAGGCTTTGTTGGGCTTCAGCATATGCTGTAATCTGTCTAAACCTCCACTAGCGTTTGTTACAGTCACTCAAAACATGCCAAGCTTGACAAACAGTTCAACTTGTGCTTCCTCAAATCTGAATAATTTGTAGACGATTTACATGAGATCAAAAGAAAACGTGGAGCAATATGACTGTGGGGTATGACAGGAAGGAAATGACTAACATTACTTCCAACTTATGGAGGAGAGGTGGGTTGATGCATTCACTCAGTAATCACTGTATTGCTTTGGGAATATGGGACAGCATTATTTTTCCCATTACCCAAACAGCGTAATATAATAATGATAAAGTAAGGGTTTATTGCACACGTTATTGTGTTCAAGTTACCACATTTTCAGCCTTAGGAGTGAGTATTTTCCAGGGTAACAACAAATAGGGAACAATCAACAATCATGAATGTATTTATTCTATAGCTGTAGGTTGCTGGGTAGATACTTTTGTAGTCTGGCTGTGTCATCTATGGGTGATCCTGCTCGCAGTCGGGTTTTCCAAAGTGTGTGCTATTGTGTGTGTTGGTCAGATGGCGTACAGTATGGTGTGGATCACTGATGACTCGGCTTGTTAATATGGGCAGATTGTGTTGTGTTAACACCCACGCACAAACACACATGCACTCCCACAGGCACATTCTGCTGCGATCCCATGGGATTTCTTTAAAAAATGTATTAATATTAATCAGTAATTAAGAGCCTGAGGATCTATCTATCTATCTATCTATCTATCTATCTATCTATCTATCTATCTATCTATCTATCTATCTATCTATCTATCTATCTATCTATCTATCTTTTGCATATTTCTGTATAAAACTGGCTTTCCTTCCACCATAGCAAGAATAAAAGCTTCCAGATATGCATCAACACACAGCCCCAAGAATTAATGCCCGCTGCTGCTGTTTCAGGGTTTATTTGTCTCTCTATTTGTGTCTAAATAAGCCTAATCACATAATGGGGACCATGGAGTCCAGACAGAGCACTGTGTTATACAAATGAGTAAGGGAAATGATGGTAGGAAATATAAAATCAATGGCTCTGTGCTTGGGTTTATGTCTGTGAGTTCGGACATTTGTACATTTCAGCTGACGTCTGATGTGAAGATACACCACCTCAGAACAACATGAGTCTTCTTCGTATCAGACTTTGAGACATGCCATTTGGGCAATCAGGGAAATTTTGAAATGAAGTTTTGGGATGCAACACGCCTTAAAAGTGTTACACACGGACAAGCAGACCTGTCAAAAACATGATGTCATGTATAGCTTTTCACTGAGTTTCAAAAAAACACACTGCTGTGAGCGCTGTGTTTTTGTGCCTGAGGTGAATAAGTGTTAAGCATTCGGGTGACACCTCTCATCAGTTTCATCGTCAGCGTGACATGTTAAACAAGAGGTATGACAGCTCAGTGTTTGATCCATGGGGTAATGCCGTAACATTTCTCTCTCTCCGCTTTGAACGCGATGGCAAATAACAAAGGAAAAAATCCTCTAATTGGATGTAACGTCAATCACTCAGTTCATGTTCTGTGTAAAGAAACTAGTGTTCTTATTTTAACTGTGTGTCATCGGACTTCTGTGCTAGTCCTACAGTGGCTGGTTTGTTTTTGCTTTGACCTGCTGGAATGTTTTTCCAACTCTGTTTTTCTCTAGACCCTACATGCCTTGACATGCTGTCTGGCTACCCTTCGACTTAGGCATTCAATCCAGTGTGTGTGTGTGTGTGTGTGTGTGTGTGTGTGTTTGTGTCACAGCTGTCTGGCTGCTCAGTCACACAGGCTAACTGCCCCACGGTGTGTGTTTGTTAAATGTTGGACCCACGCAGCAGGACAAGGTTTTATAGGGCTTCTCATGAAAATGTTGCCTGTCTGTCTCCCTCTGTCTCTCGTGTGTCACTTCTTTCTGTTTCATCTCCACTTTCACCACCTCTCCTGCATGTTTCTTTTCCACACACAAACACACACATAGACCGGATTTTACGGTTAGTGACGGTGCATTCCTGGGAAGTCTTAGTCACTGTAGGAGCGATGTGTTTATGCAGTGTGTTTGCATGCACCAACTTGCACATGTGTCAGTGATTTTTCACCATTAAACATAATGCCTCTCTGTTTGTTGGTACTGTATGGCTGCATAATATCAAGATCTGTTAGTGAGAAGGAAGTAGAAGGGTTTTAGTTTGTGATAATTCATCATAATAGTCACACATGGATTAAAGTCCCTTTCTGCGGAGACTCTCCTCCATGTTTTTCTGAAGTATTGTTGACATTAAAGCAAGTCAAGACAAAGAAGAAACAAAGATTAGACAAGATAGACCTCATTTTTCATCATATTTGAGGATCAGCTTTGTCTCATCAACATGCAACAGATGTATGTGTGCATGTGTGTGTCCCCTCACTGATTCATGTGTTCAAAGTGTGGCTGAGCGGAGAATCAATCTGTGCCTCTTTGAAGTGCAACTGTGTGTGTGTGTGTGTGTGTGTGTGTGTGTGTGTCCCATCTGAGCTGTCATGTAATCAGGGATAACATGAGAAACTCTTCTTTCTCTGATCAAAGGTGCAGCTGGCAGGGTTGACAGTGTGTCTGTATATACTGTATGTGTGTGTGTTTGTGGAGCACCTGTGCGAGTGATCCCAAAAACATGTGAATAATAATATGAGTAAAGTAAAAGTGAGATTAAACCAACCATTTTTCTTCAAACTGCTTCTGACATTTCTTTGCCGCGCAGGTACGAAGATGGATGAGGAACCCCAAGGTGAGCGTGGAGAAGGCCCAAGGGAAGGGCCTCCTTTACCCCTGTCCAAAGTGTCCACTGGCCGATGACCTGTGGTACACACACTTCCCCTCGCCTTACGGCTGCTGTCACTATGGCGGTCTGCAGGGTGGCCAGTACTACCACCAGGAACCGTGCTCACCATGCCCTGCCAGTGGGCAAACCAGTGGCCATGACAAAAGCAAAGGCTGCAAGGTAAAGGGAAAAACAAATAGTGAGAAAGAGTGTGTGTGTGTGTGTGTGTGTGTGTGTGTGTGTGTGTGTGTGTGTGTGTGTGTGTGATGTGTGTCTGTGAATGCATTTGTGTCACTACTTGTTCAGTCACATTCAGCCCTGTAACCTCTACCCAATCAACTGCCTGTATTTGTCACATTCATCATACACACAACTGTAGGCAGTGAATAATATGCTCACACTCTGTATGGAAAATAACAACATTGTTATTGAATTATAATAAAGATCACGTCAGATTTATCTTGTGATTCCTTCGATCTGACAGATGTTCAAACAGGTTTGACAAATTATAAACCATGTTATTCTGAAAGGTCTAACAGCTGCAATGTTACCGATAATTTCACAGAAATAATACTGCACATCAAAGTTGAAACTCTTTCTGTAAACTCTGATGTATATTTACATCAGAGAGCTTGGCTCCTAATTTCAATGTTCGTCCTTGATTTCTTTTCCAGCTTGCCAACCTTAGAGTTTGTTCAAAAACATCAGACTTCTTTTAAGCAATGTTGTCACATTCCAAGCAATTAATTTAATACAACAGTATTATTACCAGTAGGAATGATGTTTAGGACAATGAAACTAATACAAATGTCTTTTATATCTCAAAACCCTGCTTGACAAGATATTTGTAGTGGATATCTCAAACTCTGCAAAGATGCCAAATATGAAGAAATATGTATAGAATATTGCCAAGACATAGAGTATTCCATCTAATGTAATTGCACAATCAAGCCAATGAAATGAAATACACTCTAATTACATTAACCTCGTCATACTGTTTAGTAAGGTCATAATATTTCTCATGTGGTTTTGAATGAGGTTTTCTTACCTCTTGCACAGAAGTTCCAGTTTCACTTCAGCTTCCTATACTGCAGCCTCAGTGTTGGAAGTCCAAGAAACTGCATGTGATGTTCTTATAAGGTGTAAAACAAAATTTTCTACATTAAGTCCATCCCCTCTATCCTGCCATCCTCTCACCACAAATCTCCCCCTCTGGCCTGCAGGTGCAAGTACATCCACACACTCCATAACATCACTTGACTCATTTTACAGACCTCCCTCTGTTTGCCCATTAGCGCTCATTGAGGGAAGTCAAAAAAGCAAATTAACAGGACCCTAGACATTGTTCTGTTTGTCTTTATTCCCTACTTAAGCTCTACCATGAGCGTTGTCTCCTAACATAAACACTAAGGCGACTGAAGACTGGGGCGCTTTTTTTCAAAGACCCCGTTGTTGCTCACCACAGGCTGGTGTTGTTGAAATTAAAGCAGAGAGCATGAGCATTGTATTAAAAATTAAACAGAAATGAACAGCATGCTGTCAACAAACGCCTTGCCCTAACACACACCGGTCCATTCGCACCAATGCTGCTGTAGGTTGTCCTTGGTTATGCAACTGCAATCATAATAGCTATCCTACTCCTATCAATCATCATACCCATCAATTGGTTCCCCACTCATGGGTGTGTGTGTGTGTGTGTGTGTGTGTGTGTGTGTGTGTGTGTGTGTGTGTGTGTTTCTCCAGTCCCATGGGCGAAAGGAGAGAATGAGTCATCACTGTCCCAGCGAGACAAAGCCACTACTGTGTGTGTTGGTGTGTGCACTGAGAAACCATGTTGAAGTGTGTAAGAATATAAAACAGGACTGTGTTGTTACTCCATCACCCCATTCTCTTTCCTGCAGCCCTATAGTTTTTTTTTTTTTTTTTGTTTCATTTGCTGTTCTGTCTCACTCTATCTCTCCATCAATTCCACCTCTTGCCTTCACAACCAATAGATCTGTCACTAATGTCTCACTGGAGATAACCGGTGTGTGCGTGTGTGGAATTAATGGGTGTTGCTGGTGAGGTGGGAGCAGGCTAGGGGGGTTAAAGGCGGGCTCTGTGGTGAGTCATAGCTAGTTTTTTTACTGCGGAGAGTGTGGTGTATGTGCATGTTTAAAGTCAATGCAATGCCAATGTGGAGTTAAACAGGACTGACCTACAGTGGCTCTTCGTGTCTCATATGTGTTTTGTGATCCCAGACTCCATAAATGATTGAAAACTTAGAACATACAGTAGCAGGTGGATGCATGTTCTAAATATGGACAGACTCTTCCTGTATTTGACTTTATGTGGCATTGCCAAATTGCCAAATACTCCATGACAAAAAAATTCAGCACACAGACGTCATGTTCTGCACTGTTCCCATACTGTACTATATCTCGGCACACTGTGTCCAAACACTTACGTGTAACAACTCAGGTCCTCAAAGTTGGCCTGCCAAACACTTGCAAAGCGTGACACTTGTTTAACAAATGGAACAGTAACAGAAACATTTCCCTTGCATGCCAAACACACTGCTCTGTTCTCGAGGGGGCCACCCACAGCCTGACTCAAATGCAAATGAGCAAAGCCACACTATGAAATTTGTCAGCCCATCAAAGTGAACAGTATCAGTCGCCGTCTAACAAGTGTCTGAGACTTGGACTTAAGAAAGTGGGGTGATGACGCCGAGAGGCTGCTTCTTCAGTTCTTGTGAAGAGGAGATGAATGAGACACCAGACGTTGACAAGAATGTGTCAGCTTAATGTGCAGAGACAGAAGGGAAAGCTCTGGGGACATTTCTCATGGTCTGATACAATGCTCTTTACTTTTTATGCAGTTGTAAATGTAGAAGTATATTAGTTTGCCTTATGTGTCCTGAATTGTTTGAATAATGAATGCTCAGCTTTTTGTCCTTTTGTGAGCAGACTCTTTTGAATTTGTTCATCTGTACTTGGCTGCAAAGTTCTCACCAACCCTTTAAAGGCTAAAAATTAATAAACTCTCCAATATTTGAATTAATATGGGAACATATTTTGTTTGCTTTTCAAAAAGGCTTCCATGACAGGGTGCCAACCCCCTCCTCCTCCTCATTAAAAATACATCACAGCACCTTTTTTATAATTACAAAGCATCAGCACCATTTAGATTGCAGGTGGCCTTGACCTAGTGCTTTGCATAGCCTACCCAGCTTCTACTTTTGATGAGTCTATCAGAGCCAAAGTTAAATATAGACCAAGTTTATGGCACTGATCTTATTATATAATATGAAATGTATGAAATCGGTGTAGTAAATTTATGACACTTGCATTTTTTCCATGGGGTGATAATTGCAGACAAAACACGGGAGGAAAGTAGGCTAGGAGGAACTAGGGGGAAACGGGAGATTAAAATTAAAAAAGGACAAAGGGCAAACAATAATGACTGGATAGGAAAAAATGAGAGCACTTGAGGGATTGGTGGAGCTGAGGGGAAAGACATAAAAAGGATAAACAGCCGTGATAGAGAGAGAGAGAGAGAGAGAGAGAGAGAGAGAGATGAGAAGAGCTGAGAGGACAGTTTTATTAGAAGATAGAGGATGAGGTCAGAGCATCTGCCCAACTGCCTGAGCATGACCAGAAATCAAAAGCATATAAATCCTCCTGATAAGGACGTCCTGTACTGTCCCATGTGCACAAGACCAGACACACACACGCACACACACACACACACACACACACACACACACACAAAGCTAATGCAAACGCAGCCTTTCCACTAATCTCTTACATCAAGCGTGTGCTGTTCTTGATGAAGACTTAATCAAAAATGAAAAGAACATGAACTTCTGCTGACTGCTGGTTGTCCTGGCATGTTATCTCTCTTGTCATACAATTTTAGAACTTTTCCTGAATCTTACAGGAGCTTCAATGACACTTTATATTACAGCCTAAATCACAGTGCAAATATTTTGTACATACAAGGTACCAAGGAAATACTGACTGGAAACTAAAACAGTGCAATAGGGACAGCTTTATTTGACAGACCACAGACTTACACCATAATAAAGGAGCTTTCTCTTTTAATTTATTAAATCATAATACTATTAGCAGTTCCTGTTAATAATAAGCAATAGTACCGATGGATCTACATACAACTATCACAAGATACTGAAGAAAACTTAAAAACGTGAAAATTCTCAGGCAAGTTAAAATGGTGTAAGTGTAAATCACACTGAATATGTGTACCACGTGTATCAATAAAAATATAGACTACAGTGTAATTTGTATGCTGTAATCTAAATTGTTCACTTTTCACAACGTCAGATACAACAAACACTTGAATTATAAACAACACATAACAGCCAAATGGCTCTATTATATTCTATTTTTATATTGTGTATTATATAAGCTCATAGCCATTACTTAAGTTGCTTACTGGCATTATTCCCATTCCCCAATGGCCTGTTCTGGGTACAGGTCAGGTGATAGTGTTGTTAATCAGTCAGTGTATTCAGTATGGTTTAAACACCAACTTTCCACCAGAAAGACCTGACCCGCTCTGGTTCCATTTGTGTTGACTGTCCCAAACTCATTCATGCAGGATAAAAAAAAAGAAAAAAAGAAAAAAGGCAGGAGAGAGGAGGAAGGAAGGAAAGCAGGAAGTGAAGACTGGGAGGTGAAGAAATCTAAAGAGATGAGAGAAGCCAAGCGTGTCCAAGAAGAACAGCGATTTTTATCTACTCCTGTGCAGCCTGTGAGATGTCGTTGACTATTGATTAGATCTCAGCTGAAGAAAAGTTGTGGTACAAAGTAGAGGGTGAAAAACTGCATATGAATTTTTGGAAATTTGCTTGGATGCAGAAAGAAGGCTTACCTCATTTGTCAGTGAGGTAGGCTCACCTTGTTAATGTTTTGTTAAAGTCAGCATCAGTGAGGTAACCTTACCTTGTTAATGTTTTGGTAAAGTCAGCTGGAACAAAAGCTTGATCATACTGCTTTTTGTTTTTTACTGCACCTTTGTCACAGTCAAAAACGCCCAGCTCAGATGATCAGTTGGTCACATGTTTCTCATGTGTAAGTTGTCTGTTTCCGTTTCATTCTCAGCAGAGACAAAACAGAGGGAGACGACCTGTGAAATCCACCTCTCTTGTTCTCCCTCAGCAGTGACAGGCCCTGCAG